GTTGATGTTAGAAGCATTTGTATTCCTACGCACTGTTGTATTTGACACCATTAGCAAATCGTTTTTGTAATTCCGGTCGCAGAGGGTGAAAATTGCCATTACATTTCGGTCCATCAGTGGATTTGCTATCACGTGCAAAGAACTTCCACAACGTAGACATTTCGTGATTTTCTTCAGGAAGTTTCACCCCAAAGACCAAACATTAAGCCGACTGTGAAAGAAAAGGCTAAAACGACAACCTGAAGAGTGCGGCTTCATGGGTCAAAGTTGTTTAATCAGTATGATTCCTGGACGTGCTGTTGCGTAAACACTAATATCAGTACGTATATGGAACTGAAACTAAGTACGGAGTATCTTTTAAAAATCTAGCGGATATCGTTTAGAAACAGAAATGCTGACATATGCGCAAGATGCAACAACTTAAAGGTAAAAAAAACAAGTTTTATGGTAAAGACGCCTCCATTGTCAGTTCATTTCGGCTCTGTAAACGAATGTGCCCGCTCACCTCATGTGTTCATTTAGGAATTGAAGGGTTTTTGCAGTTTATCTTCAGTATCGGTCCCCCGAGAATTTCTCATTTGAAGTTCACTCAAGGGGACCTTAGCGTATCACCGATGGTTCTTGGTGACAATAAGGGTCGTTGGGAATCTCCAAAAAATCAACTGTGGCTTCGCTTTCGATATATTTTGTGCGGTTGATGAACTGTATTTAGTACCTGTTCGCAGCGTCCGATGGCTGTCAGTCCCCACATTTTTGCGCAGTTTGTGTTGCTTCAGTGCATCTCTCACACCTCAGAGTTCACTATTACCTGTTCACGAATCCTTCAATACAACAGACCCCAAAGACCATTATTCGTGAACAGTGAATTGGGATACTGCCTTTAAACACATGTAGTTACTACCGGCGTCTTCTATACATTTCCTGTCGGGCTGTACACTGACACTTCTGATATTCCCGCACCAAATGACAGTAACTTTCTTCTTCATGTCATAAAACGGGTAGTGGAGAAGAGAATGCATGCGTTAGACGAACTTCTATTTTCGTCTTCTACGGTTTAGTTATTGAGCGCATAACACGAATTCCTTTAGCATTCC